GCCCTGCTCTCTAAATATCGGCACTGTTCACTGAAAAACCCGTATCAGTCGACGACCACTATAAATATCAATAACATTACAGGTTTATGGAAATGTCTCTTTTCAGCTGTAATAACCTTTAACATCAGAAAAGCCCCCAAATATCACACCAGAGCTAACATCCCAGGTAACATGTTGTTTTGTATCAGTATGACATTATATATCTCCCTACTAACTAACAATGACACACATTAAAAAGGTAAAGGGTCCAAGTGGGAAACGGCTAAGCAGGAGTCATGAAGGATAAAACAAAGTGTTACACGTGGTTCAACATGAAATAATTATACCCTAATTGCCTCAATAATCCAGGTTTTTATGCTATTGCTGACGTCGTTCTATGCCTCGGTTAGAAATACATAGAAAGCAACCTTAATTCAAGTCATTTTGTCAAACCTAGTCTTCCATATAAAGCAGGAAAGGAGGAGGGAGGTGTAACTGAATGAACCCCTGGCTTTCTATCTCATCCTCTAGATGGCTGCAATCAATGTGCAAACCAGTGAATATAAAGCTGAAAACACTGACAGAGGACAGTAATGACCATCCTGTGATGAAGAGGCCATAGGACGGGTTCACAGCTCCAACCAAAGTGTCCTTGAAAAACATCTTGCATCTCCTGGCAGCTGTTAGGTGTTGTAGCCGCACACAGAAGGTAAATACCATCCGTTTAGATGTTCTTCACTACAGAGAGTCAACCCTTTGCACAGAAGAGGGCTTTCCCACTTGGCAATGGTCAGTGTTATCCCTCTACTCTTTACCTGCTGCTTCCTCCTACAGCTCTCTTCCTCGGAGTAAAGCCTTCATCACCAAGAACCGCTCTCTAGCATGTATACACAAACCTAAACATCAAGGATGATTTACAAGTTAATTTCATTATTAAGCATGTGTTTTTCTTCTCTGTCAGGTAAGGAGGGCTGATGTCTCTGGGCCATGCTCTACACGTGGTAGCCGGCAAATGTCAGCTCTGAACATCTGCACCATTAGACGTATTGTCTTAAAAACGCTTGACGGGCCGGTAGCAAACTAACACTTTCCCAAAAACAACTTGTTCCCCGGTCTTTGTTTCCAGTGGCATTACGCTTGTAATCCCACATTTTAACACTTTTTACCTGATGCATCCTCGCTATGACTCACAGTCTAGGCCAGGCACGCAGTATAAATCTCAGTCCTATCATAACATAACCACACAGCCCACAATGTCGAGAGCACACACCAAAAAAAAAAAAAAAAAAAAAAAAAAAAACCTGCAGCTTTAACAGATGCCAGCACTATACCACATCTTGGTAAGACACCATATAACCTGGCAGCAGGCAGGCAACAAGACACGGTGGGTTTAGTAGCAGATGTTGAATGAAAACAGACCCACAGGCTGGTTGTACAGAACACGCAGATAAAAATGTGGCCGCGTTTGACATCGACTCAAACAAAGGCAAGAAGACCCAGACATACAGAGAGAGAGATGGTTGCAGTCACATACACCCACCAACCAGGCAGCTAACGCACCACAATCACATATGGGTTCATTTCATCCAGCATCTCTTTCAGCACAGTTACAAAAACGGCATTGAGCCGCGATACAATAACGTTATGTGTTGGACAGCTAACAGCAGTGGCAAGCTAACAGCAGTCACCTGAATATCACAGACTCCCCCTCTCTCATTAGCTTTGTTATTAGTGGCTAGCCTACCGGTGGTGGAGAATAAACATTTTTAAAAAAAGAAGCAAAAAAAATAAATCACGCTTACCCCTTTTATTTAGTCTTCTGTTGCCGTGGCTGGCGGTATTATGACTATGTTGGTGATATTTCACCACACATAAAGATGCCTTCCGTCCTGCGACCGACCGACGCGTGCGACTAGGCTAATTCGAATTGTAACGGTTGTATCTCCCAGGTGACACAGATAACGTCTTTCCGTTAAATCCGCATCCTCGAAAAAATGTCTTTCCCTCCGCGCTGCTACCGGTGCAGCGCGTTACGAAACCACACCAGGGCTCTTATTTATTATTTTATTTAATATATGTATTTGTATATAGCTTTCAACACAAAACGGTCAACGGGGAAAGGGGAGGCAAAAAAAATGAGGCGAGCCCGTTTTGAGGCAGGTACGAGACGGATATCCGCAGCAGCTTCTTCCCCCCCCGCGGCCGAGCATCCGAAGGGCCGTCCGCTATCCTGCGCGTCCTCTTGTACCTGTATCCCGCGTTCAAACCAGGATATAGAAAGAAAAAGTGGACGTGGTGGTGGTAGTTAGGGGTGTGCGTGGGTGGGTGGGTGGGTGCTGACCCTTTACAGTCACATGGGAAACACGATGCACATTTCCAGTATTCTCAACAATAACTGCACAGCAGTGAGAGAGAGGAAGATGCTCTGTATCTTGGTGCTGTCCCTGGTGCTAAAACTGAAAGCATCAAAGAAAATTACAAATGCAAGCATGGGAAAAAATTAGAAGTCAAGCACTTTGAATTCTCCAAATATCTTCTATGTATGTGGTGAGGATTTATTAAAAAAGGGACCCTTTTTAATAAATCCTCGCCAGTTCTGATGTAATCTCATTGGATTTACCTCATCAGTGTTACTGCCCCTGGTAGTTTATACAAATACATCCCACTGTATCCATACATTATACATTACAGTGATCCACTAAATCATCTCAGCATCATTAGCACTTTCTTTATTGGGTCAGAAAATCTTTTTAGAAATCAAAAACCCACGGAGGATTTCCTCCACATTCGTTTCAACATTTTATCTCTGAGATCTGCTCTTGCACTAAATTATTTCTGAGACACTATGCAGCACCTGGTTGGTGTGTGACATCGAGATCTGGGTTATTCATAAAGCTCCACATGCTAGAGACCCTCACGACCAGGATTTCTACTCTAGAGAGGGGAGTCATTCACATTGGTGGCCTGGTGACACCCAAACTCCAACACCTAAATTATTTTTGTGTCTTTCTGTTCTCCGTCAGCACCGTGTCTGCATCTGCATATAGGGTGTGTATGGGTATGGGTGTAACTGAACCAACAAAGTGGTAGTGGCGAGGGCTTTATGGGATGATGGGTCTCGCAGGGAGGGCCGAGCAGTTTGGGAAATAGCATGCTACTCATTATAAGCAGTTAGTGGTAATGAAAAAGCTCTGCTGTGTTGTTACTGTGGTTCCAGTATTTTGCATTTTTTGCTGTGAATGTGTTATTGTAGTTGAAGCTTTCTGTGTGGGCAAGATCTTTTCAGCTGCAGCCATAGCATCAATGTCTGCTATTGATTCGCACTCAACATATTTGCAGGTTGATGGACAGTTGAGCTGTGGGAAGGGAAGGTTTCATTGGTGTAAAAGGAGGCCTTTCTTGTAGGCTACCCCAAAGATGCTGTACAGTCGTGTTTAAGGCTAAAAGAAAGCCACAGGTCTTCAAAAAATCACTAATTTGAGCTGTGAGCCTGTCAGCACACACACTGAAACATACTGATTTTGAGCCATATCAGCTCGGTTTATGAAAGAAAACATATAGTCTAAGTCTAGGAGTCTAGTCTTGGCGATGCAGCTCAGTGGCTGTAGATCATATTGGGGCTCTTATGGCCTGTTTGCAGGTGTGAATGTGTGTAAAAGTGACCATGGCGTTCCTGAAAAGGAGGAATTGCTCTTAGAGAAACAACCCTGATTTAATATGTTAACATTTGCAAAGTTCTGTTCTTGTAAATTATTCATTTAAATTTGTAGAGTTTGTACATACTGTAATCTTATTTTTAACTCATTTACTCTTCAGTGAGATGGATTTGAATTAATATTTGACATTTTGTTTAACGAATTGTCTCCTTTTTTATAACACTGTTTTATGTTTTATTGGCAGCCTCTAAAGCATGACTGCAAAAAAAAAGCCCATTATAGCTGTTATTGTCATCTGAGCAATACAAATTAAAAATGTATACTCTTCAAAAGACCTTTATTTATATACTTTAAGACATTAAACTCAGTCTGGTACAACCTCCACATTTTAAAATAATAAAACTCTAGACTCAGGAGGATTTACATTTTACTTCCCAAAGAGTTAGACACACCAGGCTGTCTGTCCAGATGCTGTACAGTAGTGTTTAAGGCTAAAAGAAAGCCCCAGGGCTTTAAAAAATCACTCATTTGAGCTGTGAGTATGTGTGTCAGCACTGATAGCCCGCACACACACACACACAACCTGTTTACGCCCCGGCCCCAGTCCCCACCCCTGCCCACAGACCCACACCCCAGCAGACAGCTCATCCACAATCCACCGTGACAAAGGGAAAGAGCTGAGCGCAGGATATAAGGCTGCCACTGGCTGCCAGAGTGTGTCCAGCACAGTGCTTTCTGCAGATTGCAGCAGTTTGAGCTAAACCCCCCCTCTGTCTGCTCACTATAGACGAGACCTGGGTGGGTGGGGTCATCATTAGTGCGTGCAGTGACCAGGGTGGAGTTGCGGGCTTGTGTTTGGTGAAGTTGGTGTGACTGTGTAGCTTCACAGCTGGGTAGACATGATCTCTATTCTTTTTTTTTTTTTTTTCCCGGCACAATGTGGGAGTGATATTCCCAACCTTAAAGCTAAATCACATGACTCCAATCCCGGATAATGGATGGGGGGTCTCTGTGCTGACCTTAAAGAAAGTGCCTGAGGCTGAAAGATGCACACTGAGAGGTTACTACAGATATGTCTCTGTGACCTGGAACAGCAGAGTAAACACATACAGTAACCTGTTGCTGATATGTACAGCATTGTGCCAACTGTGCTATTGAATGCACACTGTTTCCAATGAATGAAAAGTTAAAAGACTGTATGAAGAAGGTACATTCACATAGCCAAACACAGTCACTAACATACAGTAGTGCTGCAGCTCCTCCTCTATAGCCTTTACAGTTAAAGTTTACTGTGCTTCAAAGATTTACTCATCACCACTGGGGAGGTTGCTTTAGATCTAAATCCTGTTTTAGAGAGTATAATTCATCCTTACATGCTGATTGGTTTTAGCAGATGTACTTCCTCCCTATAAGGCTGCCCTGCTGGGTTTGTGTCCTCCTTAGCAACACCTCTGATGCTCTGATAGCATTTCTTCTTCCAAATTTGGTAAGGCATGGACATTTTTCTTTGGTAATGATAAGCTTAAAAAAGGTATAGTTTAAATTGTTGGTGACGCTTTATTAACTGATAAATCTTGAAATGTATCTAAGAGGTGTCGTGTTATCAGTACTAGCTTCATTTTTGTTCTGCATTGGCTTACATGGAAAATCTATAGTAAATACACTGTCTAAATCAACCACTGTGTATGCAGGAATCCCCCCAAAAAACACAATAGAAAAGGTTTTCCCATGCCATAAAAAGCATCATAATAACAGAAAAAGGAGGGAGCTGTTGAATGTAGAACAGCAAAAAAACGATCTCTTTATAAATTCAACAGTTCCCGTCTTTTCTTTCCACACTTTATTCAAATCAACCATTGCAATCACAGAGATGTTGATGACTGAACTGATCTATAGTGACAGGTTGGCTGACTTAAAGGTGCAGCGACTGTGTTTAAAGTCATAGAGTATAAAGTATAGACTCAACTCAGTCTTTATGAGACTGCTCTATGAATCTCATAAAACAGCTGATGTCATTACAAAACATCATCATTATCCTACTTTGTTACGTCATGTTTTTTCCCTCTGACTTAAAAGGCAACTGAAGCTGTATTTGACCAACAAAGAAGAAAGTTTCTATGGCTGCAGCCTACAGCCACCAGTACCAATGGGTTACAGTCCGGTCAATGCGACCTACTAAAAGATATTTATATCCACCCTGACACTTTTTTGAGTCATCTCCCAAGGACAACTATGCTATTTCTGTTGTGGTTCTTGCTCGTCTTCTATCTCTCCCGTCCCTTTTCTTATCTCTCTTTTTCCCTAAACTAGTTGCTGGAGGTCACCCTGCTGTTCCAGTTTAAAATTATATAATAATTCGACAGAATGAAACCAGGACAGTGAGGAGCTGTGGTGCCACTATGGTGCAACGTGAGTCACAGAGCTCACATGAGGTACATCTAAAGAGGGAGACAGACAGCTTTGTGAGTTATTACACCCATGTCTTGGTGTGCAGCTCAGCAGGCGAGCTGTGTCACATGCAGTCAACGTTTCTGAATCACATGATAACATTGTGCTTTTATACATCTGTTGCTTGAGAACACACAATAATCAGAAGAAGAACCTCCCACACCTGTTGTGTACAGGAGTGGGAGCCACAGACAGACACATTGTTGTGAAACCCATAAGATCTATTTCGATGATAAGGGACAGAAATAAAAATATCATAATTTCAATTGTAGTATCTTTATTGATAATGAGGCTCATACATTGCGTCCCCCCACCCCCTTTTTTATGCATATTTACAGTTCAGTGATTAGTATACAGACCACATCACACAGTGTGGTTATTATGTTGAATGATCTCATGAGAACTGTGAATATATTATAGTATACTGTGTATACTATGACCACATAGATACATCTGTACATGCCTGGAAATAATTCACATGTTGTGAAAGTTATTGTCCATTAACAATTTCATCCATCATGGCTTTTATGGTTAGTTTTACAAAAGGAACATCAACAGTGTAAATCTGTAAAAGATTAATCTAAAGAAATACATGTTTTCATTCATGAATAAAACATCTACAGTATGTTCCCTCCACAGCTTTGACATAAAGAAAAATGAACACAAATGATGCATTTACTGTATTGTATGAGCATTGGGATACAGGCTATTCCTTAGATAACTCACTCACACACCTCAGAATTAAAACCCCTTCCATTTTGCCACCAGAGCTGTTTACACCATAGTGCAGACATGATGATAGTGAACACCCAGTTAGACTGATAGAAAATATTCCTTACTGTACATGTGTACCAGCAGCTCCCTCTAGTGGAACATCTTATGGCTCATTTTTTCCCCATTTTTTAAAATTGTAATATTTGCTGTTAATATGCAGAATCAAATGTGAGTGCAGGAAATAATAATAATAATTAAATTGATCACACTACATATAAGAGAACCTCTGATTTTGTTAGATGTTCTGATGTTAGAAAACATAAATTTAAAGAAATAAAC